TTTATGATTGAATGTATATAACAGGATTTATAGGACCCTCTACAAAAACATTTCTGAACGTTGTTATTTTCTATCTATTGTATTTTAATCAATATACATTGACAAGATTATTAGTCTTTCTGTTATCAATCAAATACAATCATCGAGATTAATAATGAATTCAAATAAGATAAACATATAGCATTCCTATTAGTAGTAGGTTCATCCTGTTCAATATAAAATTTTATCACAAATATAAAGTTTAAAAACTTCATGGCTTTTTTTTTTTATGTACAATCACGGAAAGGCTATTACTATTTTGCATATATCATCATTAATAACAGAAAACAAAAAATAATTTCATTAGTATAAGTGTCATTGTTTTCTATCTGTATGAATGCATGAATAATGGATAGCCGAAATGGTAAAGAGGAAAACCGAACAGCAATAGATGTTGTAAAACAAGTACCAAATGGTATATAGTCATATTGAACAATTTGTATGATAACCAAAGAATTTGTTCCAAAAGATTTTGATTGGCATGAATTTACAGATATGAAATCAACAATCATTGAAAAAGATTATAAAAAAAGGCAAGTAACAATTGATATTGATTCACAAATAATTGATCTAAGAAAATTTATAAGAACTAATAAAAGAATAAAATTTGAAAGAAAAATGGAAAATTAAGTGAGATGAAGGAATTATTATGTCAATAAAACACATGCTAGATTTCATTTACTTGAATTTTATGAATATGGTGAACTAAGAAATAGTATAACAGAATGAAAACTTATTATACTTTTTGCTTGGAAATAGAATTAATTGATGATGAACTTTTAATTCAAGGCAAATTAGTTAAACATGAATGTAAAAGATCTTGAATAGTTGAACATTGATTCAATTTTTTATTTCAATCTTTTCTTTATCGATTAATATAAACAACACTTCGAACTAATGATATATCAAAAATATCATCTCTTAGTGCACTTCTCGCCTTATTACTTAAAAAATTAAAATATAGTTACGTAAATATCTTTATAGTTAAAAGTAATGTCTGAAACTTGATACCTATATATCAGCAACCAAAAAACCGCTCAACAGCTGAACAAACTGATGATGCTACATGTTTATTTATTGTACATATTAATGCTATTGACTTATCATCATTAACTTGACAACTTCAAGAACAAGAAATATTTATTTTATTGAATGTATCTTTTCATATAAAAACAATTGTGGGTTAAAATGATGATCTTCATTGTCATATAGTTTATTGAACAGTTGAAAATTGAGTTTCTTTTTTTTTTAATTAATAAATAGTTCATATAATCTTAATACACATAATTAGTAGTTTGTTTAAAACAGAAGTATATTACGTTAAAACTAATACTTGAAGATACAATATACATAAGTAATGCATAGAGATGTGCAGGTTAAACTGTTTTTGTATGTTTTGTCTTTCGTAACCAAGGAAGATTTCCAATGGCGAGTTTCCTTGTTCGAGTACCATTATGTAGTAGAATTCGATGAATTGATCGCTATGACATAAAGTGTTCTTCTTCATAGAATGTCTTTGAAGAGTTAGGTTGACATATGCATCTTTAAAATAATGTTACTAGAGAATCTTGATCAGTTTTGAAAAAAAAACCATTGTTCGATTCCCTACATCCATAATATTAATGGTATTGAAATATTTATAGTATAGATGTTGTTAAGACTTCTATTGATGTTGCTTACGTGAATGTACACAGTTAATTAAGACACATCCAATGTTAAGGTTTTTCATGCTGAGAACGAAACTAACATAGAAAATAAAGTTTTCGACATACTAACTTACAGACATTTTTCAGAAGTTGAAACCGACGTAATTCTTCAAAGATATTCTATGAAGTAGAGCATTTTATGTCATTGTAATCAGCTCAGTAAGTGCTATAAATTGCCGTAAAGCTGATTGAAATATGAAAACTTGTACTTGAGGATCTTTCCTCATAAAATACTTTCTTACCATAGCCTAACTCAATGTTTTTCTCATCCTAAATCGGTCTGTGTTGCAGGGTAGAATAGGATTATTCTGTACATCTTTAGTAATATTTCCGATTTGTATCTTATTTAAATGTATAATAAATCGTGTCTTACGCATTTTTTATGTTAAAAAAGTAGACATGAATGAGATGAAATTTTTTAGGTTTCGACTTCTACCTTGATAAAGATTTTGCTGGCATATAATTTAATATTATTGTACTAAATGATGTATTTTGATTCATTTAGACAAAAATATCTTCCTTTGAACAAAATTCTGCAGACAAATAGCAGAACAATCGTTTTCGTTGTCGATACAATTCATCTATATAAACAAGGTATCACTGAATTCATTTGATGTTTCCTATAAACTAAATTAAAAATGATTTTAAACAATCAATTTATAACATTACGCCATCTATTGAAGAGAGTTTTAATCGAAATTATAATTGGATCTTATTACTTATATACTCAATGTTATGTTCTATTAACTTCATATTATATCATAACCACCTCATCAGTTGAAAATAAGAATATCATTGCTTATTTTCAAAATAAATTTAAAGAAAATAAAATTCTATGCTTTAATAGATTTTATCTAGATATTGACGATGAAAGAAATTATTTCTTTACAATTGATGAATTTCTTTTTTTAATATTTATTCATCAACAATCAATTTTTTTTTTCTTTTAGATGGCTTTTATTATTAGTCATTCATCACGATCATTCTTAATTTCTACATTGAACTATTCCTCCAAACTCTTATCATTAAATCATATACGTTATACTTCTACAGATCATCGTCCAATGATGTTAATGGATCTACCTCGTATTGTTTATCCAAACTTTTTTTATACTATAAGAAATTTTTTTTCACGAATAATTATAAGTGGATATTTTGATTCAACATTTGCTGTAAAACCATTTTCTGATGGTGCACGACAAGCATTAACCGTTGTTTCACGTCTTATTGGTAATAATCAATTCGATGACCTATCAGGATTGGTTACACAACAGGTAGAAAATTAAATTTTAAATAAACGAAAAAAAAAAAAAACTATCATCATAAGAATAATGAATTAGGCTATCAATGAAATCAAGAAAAATTATGAAAATTTAACATCAGAACAAAAACAAAAGATTCCTGTTGATGAATCTGAAATTGTTTTTACATATCCATATTTAATTGGTATGATTATGGATGAACAAAAAAGTAAAAATTGAAAAGGAAAAAAAAATTTCATCTTTCTAAATTAAATCTTATTTTTTATAATTGTTTTAGACAGTCGTTTAGTTGAAATAACAATGATTTTTCATATTTTAAAAGATCGTAATTCATATCAAGAAGAAATGCTTCATGCTAAAGGTGATTCTATTACAAATTGGACAGCTACAATGAAAAAAATGCGTGATAATATTGTTGTTTGTAATTATAAATTTTTACGCGATATGAGTAAAAATGCTAATGATGATAGTTGGATTATTACTGGACTCAATCATTGGTTACCAAGTGAATATGAACAGCAATAATAACAACATTATTATTTTTCTTTTTTTTTTGTTTGTATTATAAAAAAAAAGAAGATTTTTCTTATACTTATTTGGTATGATGAGAAATTTTATTTTGTTTAATAGGATATTTGAAAAACCAAAATTAGAAAATCTTACAACTTTGTATTTTCAGATTATTTTGTGGTTTAAAAAAAAAATTCTTTCATTATAATTTAAAAGTTAAAGAGTTCTTGTTTGAGTAAGTTTTACAAATAGTGTTTTAATGAACATAATTAAAAAAATATATATATAATTTACAGTTCTTTGTGGAAGTCAAATGAGAGAAGATACTATATAATAATGAAAAAGCAAAAATGTCCTAATTCAGCGTACTCGTGGGATATATTACAGCTATCCTCTATAGCGTTTTTAGCTAGTTGAAATCTATAATCAACGTATGTCAAGAACAAATTAGTTTGAGTTCATTTTGTATAAGTCTGTCTAACAATAAAGTTCAAATACTTCATCGTACTTTACTGATATATTCGTAACATACGTTGATAGTAGACTTGAAGTAGCTAAACAAGTTTAAAGGATAGTTTTGAAATATATTTTGAGTATGTTACAGTGTGAAATTTTCATCCTTCTAAACAAATCCGAGAAAAAGATAATGATATAAAATGTGAAAAGAAAGACTTCAGAAGATTTTCGAAGTTATTCATATTAATTAGACTATTGTATGAATATTCGTGTTTGAGATCGAAAATAAAAATCGTTAACATGTTTCAATATTGAATGGTGATGAAATAAATTATTTCGAAAAAAAAAAAATATTAGGATATATTTTTATTAAGAATGTGTATTAGTATCAGAAAATTCTAAAATCTTGTACTTTTTATAATTGAATGGAAGTCATATTTCTATTATTTTCTTCAATATCAATAAAATAAAAAATATCATAATTATATGAAAGATATTGTTTAAATGAACAATTTGTTATTTTGATTGTTGAATAATATCTCAGATATTTTATTAAATATTTTCTTAGAATGATTTACTTCGTGTGTTGTATTATCCAGTCATAGAAAAAAAATTTCATCTATCGAATCAGCAGTGGTGCTAGAATATTTTAGGCAAGAGAGGAAGGTGACTGAGCTTTGTTTAGATTTCCTATGGCATCATTGTCACTAAAATTATCATTGACAACTGTTTGTTAACTTTATATTGAAAAAATGAAAAGAATAGATTGTTCGATTAACTTAAATATTTGAACTAAATATTTATTTTCAATCTTAGAAAATTGTATAATTTTAACTCGTTCTCGGTCTATATTTTACTAAAACTATATGTATGATATCTTGTTGTAGAAAAAAAAATAAGCAATGTTAATTACGAAAAGGTATTGAAATAAATGTCTCGTAAAATCGAAAGAGATCAATGTTGATGTCATTTGATAAGTTTTCTTGTAGAAAAAAAAAAAGATTTTATAAATTTTATTATAGATATAATGTTATTAGAAGATCTTCCATCAGAATTATTACTTGAAATATTTTCGTATCTTCATCCATCTGATCTTTATACTTCATTTCTTCCATTATCAAATTCTCGTATATCATATTTAATATCTCGTATACATTTGTCTCTTGATTTAACATATACATCATATGCACGTTTTTTACTTATTTTAACATATTGTTCTCCATCTCAAATTGTTTTTCTTCGTTTAACAAATCAATATTCACATGGTTTATTAATTAATGAATTTTTTTCATCGGATTATTTTCGCCCTGAAAAATTTCTTCGATTACGTTCATTACATTTAGATGATATTATTGGTAATGAAATTGACTATCTACCACCTTATCTAGAAAAATTACATATTAAATTTCATAAAAAAGCTAAATATGCAATGAAATTTTATCAATTAGCTCTTCAATCAACATCATTAAAACAATGTTATCTTATTGGTGGTTATGCATTTGATAATACAACGTGTTCTCACATATCATCAACAACTATTGAACAACTTCATATGGCTATTAAAAGTTTTCCTAATGATTTAATAGTTTTACTTCAAGCTTTACCATGTTTGACTAAACTTAAAAGTGAGAAAATGTAAATTATTATTAAAAAGAAATTAATTAGTTTATGACGATAGTATAGGAAGTAATTTACCTTGTATGAGTTCATATTTCTAAGAGATGTGAGTGAAATTAAGTTTACAACATTTGGGAAATCACTCGAGCCTATGGTTCGAATTCGAAAAGTTTCTGTTAACTGGATCTAAAAATTTCGAAGTCAACAAGCTATAATCATCCGAGAAATGTATAGGGTGCACTAATCCTCGAATACAAAAGAAAAACAGAAAAAAGTATCTCATATTTTCATGACAACTGTTCGATTTTGACTAGAAAATTTCATTGAGATTATCAAAGTACGATTCGATCGAATTCTGAAGTTTTGTATCCGACGGACTTTGCTCATGATATTTTATTTCTAAATTACAGTTAACTTACTTGATTTTTCTTTTTAACAATTTTCGTTTCGGAAAAATTGGATTAAGATAGTTTGATCTAAAATTAGTCTATAGATTGATCGAAACGAAACCAGAATATTCTGAAATTGTCAACAAAAATACATAGTGTTTGTTTCAATATTTAAAACTCACAAAAATCTAATCGATTATGAAAGGATAGGCATAGTGTTCGAGGTTTTTTCGAGTCCAATACTTTGAGACAAACATTATTCATTTTTGTTGAAAATTTCAGTATATTTAACTCTCAGTTGGATCAGTCTATGAACAAATTTTCGATTAAAACACTTCAATTCTATGCGTTTAACAGAAACTTAATAAAGGAAAAAATTTATAGAAAATGGCTGTAGCTTAGAAACAGGATGTCCTGGGTCCCAATCGTTGCACCTCTATTTTAGTATTAATGTACGTCACCTATACAAGAAATATGGACTCAACAAAAAGATGAATTACCTTGCAGAGCTCAGCAAGTACAGTCCATATTGTACTCGAGTACGACTACTTCGAATATTTTGCTATATTTATTTTTTTCAATAATAGTGAATAAATTATTCTTTTCAGCTTGTGTCTATACCCGATCATCAGGAATTCAATTTTCTTCTCTATTTACATCTCCACTGACTCACTTGAATATTGATCTACAAGGCACTGGTGTCACGTTGGCTTTGCTTGATTCTCAATTACTTTCTCATCTACCCCGATTACAATCATTAATTTATCAGTCATATGGAAAATCCAATGAAGCCATAAATAATTTCATAGAATTATCTAGTAAACTTAAGCGTTTTCAATTTATTCGAAAAGGTTTATCAGCTAATATTGATATTAAACATAGTGACTTTAACAATGATCTTATTACCGCTGTTCAAGATATAACTAATAATAAAAATTCACGTCGATCATTAACTTTACATACTACACCCTATCCTGATAAAGTACTTAATTTACCATGTGTTCAATGGAACAAAATTCACAATTCAAGTGCTATTAGTAAACATATATCAGATGAAGGTAATGATTAATAAAATAACGAATGAATTTTTAATACTTTATTGAAAATTAAGAACATTTTTTTCTGAATATTTATCTATCTACTATCCATTTCAAAATATGATTTGTTATATTATTTTTTGAATAAATATTAATAGAGACATCATAGAGATCTGCAGTTTCAGACCTTCGAGAGAGAAAACTCAAGTCTATGGAAATCTAATCGATTAGCGCTTGGTGAATTAAGTGAGTTCTTGATGTATATTTTTGAAAACGATATTTGGAAGCTATTTTCCTATTGATTTCAACTTCTAATACGACTAATTGGTAGAAGAAATTCTTCTCTTTTGATCTCGACAAGATCAATATTTCTAGCTTGTTCCATTCGAAAGTTAATATTTGATATGACAGTATGAGATCAGTTCTAACCTAAAAAAAAATATCACCATGCAGCTCAGCGCGATGAATTACTTCTGCTCAAGTGCTTTATTGGGATAGTCACAGGTCAACTGGATGAAATCAGAAGTCTTAGCAAATGCCTTATAACTCTTGGACAAGACAAACGAGAAATATCAATGTTGTGAAGACCGAAAGACAAGAATGTTTTTTTTTTTTTATTAGTCTTATTAAAAGTTGAAATCAACATGAAAATAGCTTCCGAATATCGTTTTCGAAAATCTCCACCAAGACCTCCCCAGACTGATCGTTTGTTGAATGGTAAAAACTGAAAATCTCTATGTTGTTTCTATCAAAAGCTATTCGAAAAACAGTAGAGTACATTCTATTTTGAAATGGATAGTAGATCATAAATAATTTGAAAATTATCATTAAAAACGAATGATTACTCCACTTACTTGCTGAGATTGATCAAATATCGGTTTTTTTTTGCTAAATAATTTATATTTTACAATATCTTTTGATCTCTTATCAGTTTTTGTATTCTACATTAATTTGACAACAATTGAAAATAGTATTTAATTTATTTTCCTTTTAGAAATTTATGATCGTGTTGAACGAGTTCGAATAAATCTATCTGAATTTTCTTTTAATACAAATACTCCTTCTTGTCGTCATGTAAATCATTTAACATTAATTTCAAATAATGAAACTAATCAATGTATTATATCACCAAATATAATATCATCTATTGTTTGTCTATCATCAGTTCGTCATTTAACTATAAATACTCAAACATCATTATTTAATTTTAATCAATTATTAACTTTAATGTCTCTTCATTCACTTGATATAGCTTGGTCTCAACTTCGTCCCGATTTTTTATTATCAAATATAAAAATTCTTTCTCTGATAAGTGAATGTGTATCATGGAAAGAAATTCAATATTTAATTACTAATTTAATACCTCAATTAGAACATTTACAAATGAATGTAACAACAAGTAATGAATGTCGACAAATTCTTAATTTTTTATTATCACCTAAATATAAGAATAATTTAATATCAATTAAAATTTGTATATGTCAAACATTGTCAGATCAAATAAAACAAGATCTTGAACCAATACTTTTGTCTTCACAATGGGTTAAAGTTAAATGGAGAATGGATAATTGGTATTTATATATATGGAAATAAATGTAATACGATTTGAAAAATCTTGTTTTTCGTTTTTTCTTCAATTATACAATTTATTAATGTTAAAATTTTATTCAAAAAAAAACAAAAAAACAAATAAATATTTGTTATCTGTATAGGGTAAATTACATGAAATCAAATGAATTATGATTGTCTATTTAATAAGCGATGATTTTTAAAGAAGAAAAATTTTCACAGGAATTTAAGAATATGTTCTTCTTGACCATGACTTTCTTCAAGTTTAGTTTAAATACGTTATATGCTACCAAAAAATAAATCAAGTGAATTTCATAAGTTTTTGTAATACCTAGGGCATATCAAAAGTAGCCATTTTTTTTTAGATAAAACTTTGTAGAAAAGAGTTAATCAAACTTTTGAACTAGTAACCATGTTTATCCATGTACAATAAACTTGTTTGAACATATTTATTACATGTATTTTTCGAATTATCTTTGATTAGAAAATCATTTATGTTAGTGACAGCACCAAATCAACGACTAGGAACTATTTCGATCAATTAAATTTTATTGAACATAGCCGGCTAAAAAAATATAGTGAATACATGAGGTGATATTGAATGACAATCTATAAATATGGCCTACAAACCCGTTTGAATTCTTTGAATTAAAAGAAGTAAAAACAGAATCTTCAATAGCTACGGTGAATTCACCTCAAAACGATGTTTCATTTCTTAAAAAAATCAGCCAAATACTGTTTAAAAGAAAGATTAAGGTCTGAAAAGAAGAAGAGTTTTTGTCAACAATGTTCTGTTAATAATTCCTTCAAACTACTTATTAATCGAATGAAAAACATACGTGTTCGGCTAACATTCAACATATAGAAAAACATTGTAATAACGTTTAACCATGTATTCATAAAAGTATTTGTTTTGACTATTTCGTATTAAAAGATATCATAATTATTTTATAGCCATCGTGTCCTACTACACACAAAATATTAGATACTTGTCAGAGTGCTTTCTCTATCTCTAATAACTGAACTTCATCAATCAAATGCCTCCATCCCGATTTCCAAATCACTACATTCAGTTCTGTAGCTAAATAAATGGGTTTTCTAAACAGAAGTGATTCAAAAATTGTTTCACAAAACTGTTATCACACAGATTGATTGTGCTTGAGTATGCGTCACTACTAGTTCATATAATTACTGAAGCCAAAAAAGTTGATGGACTCTATTCTGCAAAGTTTTCTATGCAAAAAACACCACTTTTTATTTGCTTTAATAATCGCGATGTTTATATGGTAAGTTAATACGATTAGACATAATCGAGCCAAACTAAAGCTTTTAACGCCAAAGTAACAAATTTAAAACATACACTACTCCTGTCCTGCTCGCAGAGCGATATTTCAATTTTACTGTATATACAGGGTGAGCACAGAAAAATCAGGAAATGAGAACTATTTATATCTACTTTTTATACAATCAATCGAATATATCGATGGTGCAATTCAAGAAACTTTTTGAAACTTATCGATCATATTAAAAAATCACGTTAGTTTCGATATCTTTTAAAACTGAACTAGTATTGAAATAAGAAACCAATATGTGTTGCATTTGACAATATGACTGGTATCAGAAATGTTTAAATTTAAAATGCATTGATATGTCACTGGGTGGCCTATAAAACTGTTGACATCATACCAATAATTACGTAGTGAAGAGAGCTGAAAACAACAGAGAAGTAGATGTTAATACAGTATAAACTATCTATCGTGAACACTTTTCGAACTTTTCAATTGTGTGCATCATGGAGAGATGGCCACTATCCAGAGATTAGTGTCCTGCGGGAACGGATTTTTCCCGTTCCCATTCCCGTGGGAATGGGAACGAAGGTAAGAATTGACGTTCCCGAAAATCGTTCTATTTTATTTTAATATACATGGAAACATTTCTATGTAACAACTGTTTATTTTCAATAACTAACGGATGATCCATAAAGAATGACTGTTTCGACATTTTTTTCAATAGCATCACCATTTTTCATCTGTTTGACCTAACTTTTTTGAAAAGATTCGTCTTTCAATTCTCTACAAAAAATGTTCAATTCATTTCCTCACATGAAATTTCAATGCGCTTTTAGATAATGAAAAGTAAAGACGTCAGAAACATTGTACTTTCAAAATACCAAAACGCTGTCGACACAACAAAAAATTTTCGAAATTTTAATGGCTTAATTAGCTTTAAAACCGTAAAACAATGGTATTGTATGATAAATCAGACTGGCCCTATCGAATCATCATATTCTTCGAGTTGTACGACCGAAAATTTTTTCAAAAGTCATGGTTTCATTATGAATGTGTTTAAAAGATGTTAGACCACTAGTTATTTTCGATGAAAAAACGATAGATCATGTTTCTTCTATTAAAGAAGTACTTCGAACGTTATTGAAATACGGCAATAAAGTATGTAGACACAATTAGGTATATCAATAAGACGGTGCGAAGACACATAGTCATAAACTAACACGACAATGGTGCAATGACAATTTTTTCGTTTGGCAAAAGATGGCTCTATTTATTGACGTTAATAAAATTAGATAGCTTTTTAGAAAATCGAAAGACGAATCTTGTAAAAAAATTTAGGCCAAACAGATGAAAAATGATGACGCTATTGCAAAAATACCAAAAAGATCATTCTTCATGAGACACCCATTAATTGTATTTTTAGTTTATTTAATAACACGTCGCGTTGCGCAAAACATGATGTTGCTAGAAGCCGGCATATGGCAATGACCAAGGCAATGACACTTTTTCTCATCGATGAGTAGGGATTCAGAAAACCTTACGAGAATGAGAACGTGGGAATGGGAAAAAAATATTTTTTTCGGGAATGGGAATGCGGGAATGGGAAGAACTTTTTTTTCTCAGGAATGGGAATGGGAAATGGAAATCAAGAAAAGTTGTTCTCGCAGGATTCTACCAGAGATTCGATTCTAGCAAAAATTTCTTCATTGTACCACAAAGTGTACTCTATGAAAGATTTAACTGTATTTTTATTCTAAAGACTGATAGACGAAAAGCACTATGATAAAAAATTGAAATATCTTCAGTTTGGTTCTCTGGAATAAGCTGATTTTTTTATTAGTAGAAGCTTATTTAGAGTTTTTTTCATAAGGATAACGTGAAAAAAAATTGTACTGCTAAATCATATTTTTTGTCTTGCTAGAGAAAATTTACCTATTGTCAAGCAAGAAAAAGACACATCAAGCGTTTCATAAATCATTTTTAATAGTCATCTAAGAGAATAATAAGAAATCAATAGAAAAAACCTTTATAGATGATACTATATTTATGTACTCCGAGCAAGTTTTCAAAACCAGTCAGTTTCAATGTTGAAGTTCGTGACTCATGACTAAAATATAGAGCTGCAAAGATTTCGACACGACAATATTTATTTCTATGCAAAAACCAGTGTTCATTGTATGCAAATTCGGAATTATATATTCGTTGACTTTTACATTTACTAATGTTGGTTATTTTTTAGCATGTCAACTACCATTTTTTAAATAACTTCCAACCGATTATGACTAGTGAAGGCAAGGTTATTTTCAGCTCAACATATTTTTGTGGTCCATTTATATAGGCTTTGATAGCAACCTACGCTCACATTACATCGAAATGTGGTTCAAAGAGAGGCGTATCACACTTAAAATTTCCAGATTTCAGAACATTTCTTCTGAAGCATGGATCCAAGAAGAGAATGAAAAAGCCGAACACTTGTGTAGACAACACAGCACTCTTCAAGCTACATTTTGGTGTAATTCGCGCATAGGTTGCTGTGAAAAGCTATGGATATGGACAACAAAAAAACTGTTCAACTGCACATATCTGTGGAAAGCTTTTTTGAACTTGATGAATGTCACACAGATAGTAGACGCACCCAATATAACTCTATCTGGTAGCAAAAATCTGATATCAATCGCTATAAATGAGTCGAAGTTATTCAAAAAAAACGGTAGTTGGCATTTTAAAACAATTTGGCATTAGTTCTGTAAATTTACTCTGTGTGCAACAATATAGTTTCATTCACAAAGTTTGTTTTTATTTTAGGTGTAGATGTAGATGTAGGTATAGATTATTGAAGTAGTTTTCTTCTCTCACATTTATCCACATTCTCATCCAGACCCTCTTTTATCTTTCATTTGTTTGAAGTGTTAATGAAAAGGATATCAGAATATGTCATGTTCTTTGTGGCCTACCTAACTATCAATGGAACCAAGGAACACAAGTGCATTTTGTCAGACTAATATTGAAATATATTTAGCAGTTTTTTTCTGCAAACTACTGTAATTCATACTTACATCTAAACTAATTATTATAGATTTTCATTTTATGCAACAAAATTAAGACATTCTACCGAGATTCATAACATGTGTGATTATTTTTGATGTAATTGTTCATACATTTTTAACCGTTGAATATTTCATCATATTAGTCCTTACGAACTTTCCTATTGCACAGATACAATTATTTTGATGAATAGAAATCAACAAAATCGTTTATTTATTTATCCATTAATGATTCTTCTTCTTCTTTTATATTGATATTTCAATTTTATTTTACAAATTTGGAAGAAGATGATAAAACGAAATAATCAACATTTATTACATGATTTCAAAGCAATAATTAAATGAAAAGACTACTAACTAGTAAACATGTATTGAGAAACAGATTTTAAAGTGTAATATACGTCAAAAATAAAAAGAAAAAAAAACGTCTTCTTTGGTTTAAAAAATATAATCAATACAGTTAAACTGGTAAAGTATAGGCAGGTTTCCAAGAACGAGCAGCTGTAGCTGCTGATAAACCAGGTTGATTTCGACGTCTTATTGCTCGTGATCGAGATCGACTACTAGCTAAAGTTCTTTGACGTCGTCTTGGAATACTATCATCAGGAAGTTTTATTCTCGTTGGAGTCGTTTTAGTTGTTTTATTCTCGTTTCCCACAACTTCCCATCTTTCACCATGAACTTCAATTTATAACAATATTTCTTTTAACAAAAACACCGGTAGATTCAATTCTTACCTGCCCAGTCGAGACCAACTATCTCATCTTGAACTGAAATACGAATACCAATTGTCCATTTTAAAGGTAATAGAATCCCTATTGTACATGCACAACTAAAACCTAACAAGAAGACATAAATCTTTACTAAAAAAAAGAAAACAAATATAAATGAAAACAAACCAATTGCAGTAAGAATTCCAGCAAGTTGATACCACATTTGAATTGGATTACCATAGAAAGCACCATCAGCACCATTTATTGAATTAAATGATCGTTGACTAAATAATCCTGTCATGAATGCACCTATGATACCACCTAAAAAGTCGGAATTAAAAAAACAAAATCTTAGCATATCTAAAGAGTTTACCTCCACCATGCATAATACCAACATCAAGTGTGTCATCTATTCCAATGTTATGTTTATAGAGAATAGCAATATAAATAAGAAGTGTTGGTATTATTCCAAAAAGAAGAGCCCAACCAGGCTGAATAAAACCAGATGCTGGTGTTACTGCAACCAAACCAATTAAGGGACCACAACAAGCGCCTGATATAGATACTCGACCACGAATAAGATCTAAAAAGATCCATGTTAACAAGCCAGAGGCTGCAGCTGCATTTGTATTTACCAAAGCAAGTGATGCTAAACCACTGATCAAGAAAAAAAAACAAAAGAATTATTAGGACTAGATGGTTTCAAATAAACATGAATTACTTTGCTGCAACAGCTGAACCAGCGTTGAAACCAATCCAACCTACCCACAAAAGACCACTGCCTAATACTGTTAATGGAAGGTTATGAGCAGTATTTGGGCGATATTCATAATCATGTCGTTTTCCAATAATAACTGCAGCAGTAATACCCGAAACTCCTGATAGAATATGAACAACAGTTCCACCAGCAAAATCTAATGTTCCATAAGTTCTTAACCAACCATTCGAACCCCAAACCCAATGAGCCATTGGATCATAACATACTGTACTCCAAACGAATATAAATATTATATAAGGAATCAACCGAATTCTACCGACAATTGATCCTAATAATTATTTTCATATTTATTGACTAAAAAAGAATACAGAAAAAAGGTTTTGACTTACCAGATATTATTGCACATGTAACGATAGCAAATGTACCTTGATATGCAGCATAAGTTAATAATGGAAAAGTTGCACAATAAAATGGATCAAATCGATCACCATTAAAACGTAATGCCGCGTCATCAAATGATCCAAATCCAACACTAATTGGATCACCGAATGCAAATGAAAAACCAAATAATACCCATTGAACAAAAATAACTCCCATACAAACAAATGCTAAAAATAATTGATTTAAGACATTTTTTCTATGAACTAAACCAGCATAGAAAATTGCTAAAGCTGGAGTCATCATTAAAACTAATGCTGTTGATGTCATCATCCAAGCATTATCTCCAGTATTGAGTGGATTAGGAACGGCAGTAGTAGTTTCAGTGGTAGTAGTTGTACTAGTTGTGGTAACTGTGTTAGACATTCTGAATCCCGATACTTTGAAATACTAAGATGCAAATAAAAAAAAAACTAAGTGTTCGCTTGCCCGAGCAAATATTGAATAAAAGTAAGCAAGTCTAAAAATATACAATGATGGTGTTTTATGAGGCAAGATCGAAAGCGTGATTCTTTCAATGTATAAGCGTTGTCTATTTGACAAAAAAAACAAGCTAGAAAAATAGACGAAAACCTTCGATTCATCTAATTGGATTAGATAGTATCAAAAATAAAATGAAATATATACATAACAATCATCACTTTACCGCATGTATAACCATTCATGCGTTCATTTATATCATTTATGTGGTGATGATCACGAATAAAGCACATATATTAGCTAAAAGAATATTTTTTACCAATTGCCGTGGCATATTTTGTGAATGTTTCGACTCATAGTATTTGTTGGTAAAAACTCAAATGTCATGAACTACTCGTTGGTAGTAGCAAACGGTACGATGATCCATGCTGAACGGATAGTTCGATTCGTTTTCTATTTCGATTATAGAAGACAACATCCCTTATGTAAACACGTTGTCGGTTTTTTTCTAATCAGCGTATATGATAAACCATGTCAAAAGCAATTACTAGCATATCATTATATTTTTCAATGTGTCGATAAAAAAACAAACAAATGACACATTGGACCTTAAACTAGAGATAAAAAATATAATTGTATGTACAAATGCGCTTTGGGGGCAAATTTTTGTCATGTGAGGTAATTATTCGACTTGAGATGGTTTTGAAAAAAAATTATCTTTTTTGGCCTTCGAAGAAAAACCACGAGCATACTAAATCGCTTTTCTGATTTGCGTATTACTTGTTTTTTTTGATTTAACATATACGCAATTCGAAATTGCAGGTAATTCGTTTTTCGTGGTTTTCATACATATTTCAATCAAGCCCGAGCAATTGTTTACGATAAACTGATCTTTAGTTTTTGAAAAAATTCTTAAGTCAAAAGAAAACTTGAAACATTCAAGGAGACTATTTCTTTTTAGAAAAATGCATCATTTTTCAAAATATACTGTCAAGGTTCGTAATAAGAACAGCTGTTGAGAAGTGTGATGAATGTTATTTTTCATCAAGAAATTTTAAATAAATATATAGGTATTTTATGTTGCTAAGTAAAGAAATGTTTGCTACTATGAATAGTGCAAAAAGCATTCAATTCTCTCGAAGAACGAAAAAGTAATTGGTGATATATTACAAATAATCGGATTTGTACTTACTAGAAACTCTGTTTTTAATAAGTACAGCAAGAGAAAAAATATTCCTCATAAGAACAAACTATATGAAATATATAGAAAAACAACTTTTATCAGTAAATAAACTTTTATCATGTCTGAGCTTGAAAATGTTGTGTGCGTTCGTTACAAAAAATGTTTCTTGATTGATGATCCATAACTTTCAGCGATTCAATGCAAAAGAAAATTGTTTTCTCCATCAATGACCATAAATTTGAAATTGTTGTATTAAAATTAAATCAGATGTTGCTTGAACGACAAAAACTTAGCGATAAATTTGTATCAATTGGAAATATGAAGTCTTGTGCTTTATCTATAACTTTCTCTATAATTGACCTCCTTTAGCTATAAAAATAAATCTTAGTAAATTTAAATAATGCTTCGTGAACAGTTGTATGTTCGAGAAAATTGACTGAATACAATAGTTGTAATTGAAAAGCAAATAACTTCGGTTATTATAAAGTATACTGATCAAGACATTGAAGAAATTCATTGCTCTTGTTTAGCTCGTTGTTATTTATTGGATTTCATACAATTTTAAACAATCAAGAAATAAGTATATGATATTAAGAGACATGAACACTTATATTTGTAACGATGTACTTATGTGTTAAAAATCAAAAAAAAAAAGAATTGCTTTTTCAAAAATGATAAATTATATGATATTCATTCCATTGGCACAAAAATTGAACACTTTTACTTCGATGAATTCAAAAGAGAAAGAATGAGAAGAAAAAAATTCTTTCGTAGCAATGTATTAAGAACAACATTTTGACGAAATAGACGAACTAATAATTTGTTAGAAAATACAATATTGATTATCTTGTTAAATTTTAAAAATGGAAGTAGAACAAAAAAGAATATAAAGGAAATTCTCTTCCAAAATACAAAATCATAGTTATTGAGTAGAAAGTTCTCAATACTAAAGTAGATTTTGATTCTTGTGTTAGTGATAGATTGTCATTGTTATAGATTTAATGGAATAAAATAGTATTATTCTGATCAGAAGTTATATTGCTAAAAAAGGCTGTCTCAACAGTGATAGATGTCGCTAATGTTTATTAGGATGAAGAGAATATTGATTTTTGTTTCTGGAGTATATATGTTATATTGAAAGATAGATTTTGTAATTGCAGTAGTATTGTAAATTATTCAACACTTCTATATCAGTATCAAAAATTCTTGACCATGATTTTCTTTATTTGAAATAGTATCATCTAGAAACATTGTTTTCGCTTAGTTAATTTTATGAGATAATAAGTTAAAAGAATAGATTAGCAAATCATTGCAAAGTTGCAGTTATCAATAAAGTAAATTCGTAGTGTAAAATATTGCTTATAATGTTTATCGATAGATAGAGTAAAGTTATTCAATTTATCCAATAAAAGATCAAAATCATTTATCAAATTTGCATTTAAATCTACATACGAGTTTAATAATGGAAATTTATAG